AGTAAATCTGTTTGAACTTCATCTTCTTCATCTTCTTGATCTTCCTCATCTTCGACATCCTCGTCATCTTCTTCATTCTCTTCAACCTCTTCATCTTCATCTTCTTCATTCTCTACCTCTTCTTCATCTTCTTCGTTCTCCACCTCTTCTTCATTTTCTTCACTCTCTAACTCTTCATCTTCATCTTCGTCACTTTTAAATTCTTCTAAACGTTTAAGTACTGTCTTCTGAATTTCTCTTTTTTTCATGATTTCGTCTTCTTCGTCCAAACTTTCTTCGTCCAAACTTTCTTCCTCAACGTCGCTATCTTCATCATCTTCCTCGATGTCACTGTCATCGTCATCTTCCTCTTGTGGTTTGCCTTTGCTCTGAATATGTTTCTTTTCTGCTTTCGTTTTACTTTCATCATTAGCTTTCTGTTTGCTCTGCATCAATACATTTTCGCGATGTTCCGCTTTCTTATTACTTTTCTTTCCTACTATATCTAATTTCTCTGAATTGTTTCCAGATTCCCGCAATTTTCGCTTAAGCACACCCAACAACTTTTTTGCTCTCTTCGACAATACTTCTCTTCTCTGGATTTCTGCTATCTTTTCTGTTATCTGTTCGACAGTAAGATCACGTTGGTTATAAGGACGCGCTGGACGCCTTTTGTTTCGTTTGTTAATTCTATCGCCAGTTTCTTTCATAGATTTAACAACAGTTAATTCTGTCTTTTCTTTTGTATCCCTCTTCGTTTCTGATAATTTGACAATGTTACTTTGCTGTTTTATTGCCTTATTCTGCTCCTTTTTTTGCTTATCCACTACCTTTAAGATCGGTGCTTTTTCTCCCGATGTGGGATTTCCATTTTGTTTAACGCCAGCAAGTTTGGCTTTTTTGGAGCCCTTCTTGAATTCATTGATATTTTCTTGTTTCTGATTTGATTTTATAGAAACAGAAGTTTCGCTAAGCGATCGTTTCTTTGCTTTCTTATCCTCTACCTTAGTCTTCATTATCAAACGAATATTCTGCAATGTAAAGAGAGAAATATATGGAAATAAGTGATATATGTGAAACGATATGTATTCAAATCCTGAAAGCATGATTAAGAGCAGTGTGCAAAATTTCAATCTCACCACGTGAGATATATTTTAGCCACGTGTTGGAGATTATCCAAAGCATCCGGCACATTTAAGTTATGTACAATACATCTGTTTCATCTATAAAATATTTGCAAACACATTCGCGCATTTAACTTACCTTTCCAGAAATGACTCGAGACGCTTTTCAGTGAAAATCGTGAAATAATCGCCAACAGGACCGTTTTAAGGTTATGTTCCAAGCGGCGCGCAGCGTGCAACGTGCAAGCTCCGTAGAAGAGTAGACAGTAATGGAATACAAGACCGCAAGATGGAGGCGGAGGTCGCGTAGGCGGAGAACGAAATTATGATCGGATCGAAATATCGATCCAAGCTACTCCTGATCATAATCGATAGTGCGATTGTTGCAGACTTCGATTGATTTTTTAAGCAAATAATATCAAATATTATTTCGTTAATATAGATTAATTTTTTTAAGTTATTTAATTATAACAAATATTCATGTTCCAAAAGCTGATTAAATATATAAATATATATAAATATCGATGCACAAATAGTATTTTCCTTTTTCCATTAATAATTTTGTGAATATGATTTCTCTTTATTAACAATTAATATATTAAAGACTTTTATAAAGTTCTATTTTTTAAGTTGATGAACTATAATAAATATTTATTCTCTTATTATTTTATTAAATATCGTGATATTGCAAATATGCGTAACCGAAAGATCTAAATTATATAAATATTGATTCACAACACGTCAAGTTCCATTTTTTTATGCCTCTATCATTTTCAATTTATTTGAACCCTGGTGAAAAAATGTCTCAGAATTTTTTATATATTATTAATCAGAATTTTTATAGAAATTTTAAGACTCTTAGAATTTTTTAAACTTTTTAAATGAATTGAAACATTTTTCAGAAAAGCTCCGAAAAAATAATAATAAAATACTTCAGATTTTTCCTGCCAACATATATCTTTGTAGAAATCTGAATATGAGAAAATCCGCTCAATTTATTAAAAATTTTCATGCATGTAGATACTGAGATGTTCCAAAAATCCTCATCCAATTATTTTTAAAAACATTTGAAAAATTTTACATTATTTTTAAGAATTTTACGTAAATCTAAAAAGAAATGAGAAATTCTTAGAAAATTTCAGAGAAAATATGAGTAATCTTTTCACCATTCGCACATCTCGTCAGATTTCATTTCTCGACTACCACTCAAAACATTAGAGCTCCAAAAAAGAAATACATTAAAAAGAACGATGAAGTTCGGAGTTTCTCTCTTTATTATACTTGTCGACAATTATAAGCGATACGAGTAGGACAATCGTGTTATCCGGTATAATACGACCTAAACACACCCTGTAAGGTGGTGCATAACGCGCATAATCGGTTACGGTTACAACGTACACAAGATAATTACATAGATACAATTAGGCGTAGCTTGGTTTGTACACGTCACTCGCGATCAATCAGACGCTAGATAAACTCATTCCTATGGTCGATCGACCATTCAAACTAACGCTATGTAATTCTCGTCGCCCGCCGAGTTTTGCAAAAACGAGGACAAGCTGGCCTCGTTAATTTCGATTCGAAATTAATTTGAAAAAAAAAAGAAACGAAAAACGGCAGAAAACATCAATTTTGCAAATATTTTTGTTTCTTTCATTTCGTGCAGGATGGAAACTCAAAAATGAGTTTGGTGCGAGAATAAATTTAAATTACATTGGTAGAGAGAGCAAATCGCTCTCTCCCGAGTCTACGAATAGATATTTAGAGAAGTGCTTTATGCGCGAATGCCGATCATAGACACGCCTGCGTGATACGACCGACGCTATAATATAATGTATCATAAAGTAAAGTATGATTGCGCTAGTAGATCAGTACAACGCGTAAACGATCTTGTGTTATGATGAAAAAAAGATTTTAAATTATGAAAACATCGGAAGAAGCGAATGTGCCCTTCCACATATAATTTTGTGCATGCAATTTTTTCTAATAGACCTATCAGAGTATTAAAACTATTTGAATTATAAACAATTGAAGATGAAGGACACCTCCACAAAGTTGAGAAAATTGCTAACAGACAGTAAGCTCCTACACTTTAATCAATTTCATGTAAATTTGGGAACTATGTCTGAACAGATTTGAAATCTACTTTATCGAGGTATTTAATATCCGACTCAGGTGGTAGGTGGTAGTATCTTAAATTTTCCTTTAAAAAAGTCAATAATAATATCACAAAGTTATGCTTCGTGTAAAAAAAATATTTTTAACGCGAAAAACTTAATTGTGCTACTAGAGCTTAAAATTTCTTAATATAAAATTGTGTATGTTATATATTTTATTGTATATTGTATTATAAATTTTTTGCGTTAAATTTTTTTTCGTAAAGCGCGATATCATTACTTTTTTTAAAGAAAATTATAAAAGATACTTAATAATATATTTAAAAATAAATTAAAATAAGAAACGTTAAGAAACGTTATTATGAGAAATATCAATTTTCTAGACTATCCACTCCAAAGAATTATTCTTTGTGAGCTGTACATTAAATTAGTAAAATTCAGAATCACACGCATGTGGTCCAATTTGTCCACAGTTTAATACATAACAATAAGGCTGGTATTCATAGTCCATTCTTATTTCAAGACCATCTTAAGTAATGTCTTAAGATGCTAATACAGTCATTTCATTGGCTGGATGGAGTCTTAAGACTGCCTTTGACCAGATAAGATCTGACTATAAATACCGACCTAACAGCGTATTTTTAAAGTGTTTATGATAACTTTGGTAATCTAAAACTGATTGATTCTCAAAAATAATACAAATAATCCCTGCTGGCACAATCTTACATGCTATATGATACGCATACAATTTAAAGCTACATATGCATATCCATATATTCTTTCAACTTTTCTTACTAATCTTCTCACGAGAGAAAGCGCGATTGATCGGGAACATACATTATCGATTTATCGATCGTTCCAGGATGGTAGTCATTCAGGTATCCAGGCTCGAATCTCGACAAAAGGACCATCATCCATCACCAATCGCAAGATTGATGCGGAGTGACCACAAGTCACACATCTCAAAAGAAAAAAAACAAAAGAAATTAAACTACAGAATTGTAAATAAATAACGTGCTCATCCTAAAACCATTTTCTTCCACAACTGATTGAAAAAGAAAGAAAGCGATTTGCACGCGACTTACGACACACCCGATACACGTTTGTGTGGCATAATGTACTGCGAGAATCCGCGTACACAAAATAAAAGTGACATAAATTAATCCTACGTGTGTATCTTACGCACGCGACGCTCTGTCGTTCGCAAACAGAGGGAACGCTCCGTCGTTGGTGACGAGAGAAGAGCGACGACGCAGGGCGTCTTCAGATTGACCGATCTCGAAGAGCAGACATGCACTTCACCCTATCCTACGTGATGAAATAAATACTAATATCGGTTAGTCAATCGTGGAATATTCGTCAATTTAGCGTCACGGTATTAAATGTCACGGAGCCGCCGAGCAACCTTACTGCCGTCCGTCATTATTCTTAGCTACGTGTATATATACTGCTCTACGGTTTTTCTTATTCACATTTTATTTACTTAAATCAAGAAATGCACAATCTCAAACCAATGCAATCTTAACATCCGACTCATAAACACGTGATGTGCGACCCGAGGATTTGGACAATCTGACGACTCGAGAAAATCCCAGGGACTTAATGAGAAGCGACGAAACGTGCAAGTTTAATCCACCGGAAGTTGACAATATACTTTCAAGCAATATATGTACAGGATAAAAATACAATAGAATGCTCTCTTTCGTAGCTCTGCAGCCTAACAAAGCCAGATGGAAATTATCCTTATCTCTATCGTACGAGTACCTAAGTTATGACAAAATATCCGATCGTTAATAAAACTAAAACTTCGCAGCTATGCAATAAACTATATATCTTACAGATGCTGCAACTTCCGGGGGATTGGCAGGAACAAATTCGCGTTGCATGATCTCCCTGACCTCGTAAAATTTACGTGACAAACTATTGCTGATGATCCGTACTTTCATCGCGCCAATTTAGCGCCAAATAAGGCTGTCTGACACCGACTTTATTTAAGAGAAGAATATCTTAGATTGGATTCGGACAGCCATACTACATATCAACGATATACACAGTGAAATACAGCGAAATCCAATTATTCAGTACTAACATTATCAATTAAGTACCATGAGCGCGCCGAAATCGGCGACGGCGCTCCTGGTTTACACGCGAATTATTTCGACTAAAGTCGCGCCGACAGCTTCGATTAGCTAACTCCAAAAATTAGATTTCCACCTTTCAATGTAATTGTAAACAAAGAAAGAGAACTTATATAAATAGTTAGCGCTAAAGCCTGATTTATATGCAGTGTTCCCTTTAAATTGGTATGTTTTTCAATATATGTGGAATCGCTTACTTTTTTTTTTTTAATCACTTTTCTACAAGAAATAGCCAAAAAATAGCATTCTTTAATTTGGAATGCTATTAAATTAGCTTGTTCATTGAAAACAGCGTTGTTGTTATTGACTATCGTTAGGATTCATGTAAAAAATTTGTTAACGAAGAGAACATCGTATAAATCAAGCTCAATCGATGTAGTCGGCGCTAAATGGCGAGCAAGCTGCTTTCGCTTGCCGAACGAAGCCGTTGGTAGCTCCAGATCGATCTCGCATGATGTTCAAACATTGAAGCGCGTTTCCGAGCCGTCAGCGAGCATCAAGGTGACTGTGCGATTGTTGATCCAAATCAGCCGTGCTAAGCGCATAGGGTTCAATCGGGCCACGTCGTTGATGGGCGCGGTACTGTAGGACTTCACGCAGCGAGTCTGCGAGTTGCCCAGGCCGAACATGCCGCTACTGGTTTGCTGGAAAATCGCGAAATAACGTCACGCATCATTTTTAAGATAAACCAGAAGAACAAATGTTATTAGAATCTTTATATCTATATATTGTACAATAGATTGCTAGGAGCTAAGACAACATTAGCGTAAATATTGATAAGAATTAGACATTGTGAGATTTTGTACGCCTACCTGCCAGAAACATAGTTTATTCTCGGAACAAGAATAACTGACGAGGAATTTCCCTTCCGGTGAAAACGCCAGCGCGGTAACCGGCGCCGAATGAGCCGAGACGGTTTGACACTTGACGTTACCTCGCAGTTCGTATAATGCCAGCTGACCGCCGCGGCCACCAACCGCTATCCTGCGCGTTGCTGGACAATGACTGACCTGTAAATAAGAAAATTTAAAAAAATAACTTGCAAGCACATCTATACTACATAAAATATACATCAAAATATCGAAAGAATGTTTTATACAACTCGACAAAATTTTGATAAATGATAAAAGTTTAATCATTAAATCATAACTTGGATTAGAAGAATTGAATCATAATAAATAGTTATATAATTCATTCATAAAAAATCCTAGTTATGTATGGCTTACTTGATTAAATCTACACACTGCTGGAAATACTTCGTTCAAAGGCTTCATTTTCAGATGACCTGGATCAAGACAATGTAGAATAATGTCCATTACCTACAAACGTAATTAATTACATGAAAATTAATTTAAAAAATACAGATATTATTGTTGTAAATATACAAAACATGTTGCGTATATTGAATTTTCTTTTTTTTCCGAATAATTAGCTTTGTTCTTAAAACAAAACTAGATTGATACCTCCACGAGAAGATCGCTCATCTCACTCTGCATCTTGTCAATTAATTGTTCGACAATCCTGAGGATCTCTGGCTTTGCCCTGGTCAAGACACTCGCACCTAGATTGACGTTTAAGGTCTGGGCATTCTGTTGGAGAGTGTTAAACCTGGCTACTTCGCGAGCCATCGTGGTGATAAAAGCAGCTGGCCTAGCGGTAGCGATCAGCGTTAAAGCATGACGTGCTGTGCGGCAAGTGTCGGCTTGCGGCGTGAGAGGAAGGCCGTATGTCAGACTCGGTACTAACTTGTCCGCATCGCAACACATTTCCAATAGGCCTAACAGAACCTAAGAAACAGCATTAAAAATAATAAATAATTAATTTTACATATACATTCATATGTAATATAATGAACATAAAACAAGATTTTATATTTAATAGATATATTCCTTTATGTAAACGTTAGTGTCTGTTCGATTTAGCGACAATAGTAATATAATCATGTTTTATTATCATCATTATCTTATTAAAATTTATTTGAACACACACAAAATATAATGTGAATGTAAAAATATTGAAATATCACAATAAAATATTTCGAAATATTATTTACCTTGGATACATCGAGATACGGTTCCCACACGGTGAATCCTCTGCCAATAAGATCAATCGCGGCTCTTCGTAATGCTGTGTGCAACGGTAACTTCGGAGAATGAGGCGCATGCAATAAATGAGTGAGCGCCATGCTGGTATGTCTGGCAAGATTGTTATTTCCTATGCCAAAGCCTTCCACAATCGAGCTCTTCCGTCTTTGCTCGTTATCCCTTCTTTGGTTTGTAGTAGTTACATCCTGACCAAATTCAGCTCCTATTACGCCCAGCAACACCACCGCCGTGGTTTGCTTTCGCTTCAATTCCGCCACGCTTGATGGCTTCCTAGCTATACTCAGCTCTACCAAGGAAAATTACAAACTGTAATAGTTATTTTAAATTCATTTTGTGCATATATATTTCCACTATATCTATTTTTCTTACTATTTAAAGTTTAGAAGAAAACCTTCTCTAATGGGCTCACCTTCCGCTAATTCCTCTTCTTCATCTTCTTCCTCTGGTTGTGACTCGGACGGTGGCACCGGACTTCCGGCTGCCGGCGAAGTCATCTGGCTCTGCGGTTGCGGCGCAATCGGCTCCTGAGTGCTATACATCGGCAAATACTGCGACCAGTTATCGACAAGCGCTTTGCGGCCCTTTGAGCCCATCCTGCCTAACTCGGCAAGAAGCAAAGCTTGCGCTGCTTCTCGAATCTAGAATACAACAAAGTGCGATGTACTTCAAAAATAAGATAAACAACAATTATATGATTTCCAATAACTCAATAATTTAAGCTCTAAAACTGAGAATTTCTTCAATGATTTAACACACAAACCTCCACACATTGATGTTGCCACCTTCGTGCCATCATCTCCACTTGCGGCCGCTTGAAGGTCTTTGCACCACCCTGAGCCGCAACTTTATCAGGCAACAATACGCAATGCAAGGTAGCCAGGAGAGACCAACCCTGCTTGATCTGCGCTTGTTGTACCGTGTACATTTCCTCATTTTCCTCTTCTGTCTTATTCCAATTTACTGCACTTCTATTGCCCGGCCTATTCATAAAAATTTACTTTCCAGATAATACTTTATTTCATGTTTTTGTATATTATATATTCAGATTTAAATTTCTTTGTTAAACATACTATATGACTATATTACAATAATACAATAATACAATTAGGAGTAACTAACGACAATCTAGTATTATTGGTTGTATTGTAATTTAATTATTTTGCGTTAATTCACCTATGCATCTTGCGGTTTCGCTCTTGCTCAGGTACAAAAGTTGCATTGTTCATCGACATTAAAGTGTTCGATAAAGCGACTACTGCCAGTAAATGATTACTCGTTAAGGTTGTCGATAATTCCCAGTGTGCTCTCGCCGTGAACGCTCTAGTGAGTCTCTCTTGCCTAACTAGCTCAGCGGGCAAACGTTGCTCCAATTGAGTTGCAGGTTCACCGACTGGCTCGAGCTGCGTTTGCCAAGTTGGTAATAACAGCGACATGTAACCTGCAATATTTTTATTTGACATTAAAAATATAAAAATTCTTTCAATACTATGCTATTTTAAATATAAAAATATATTTCATATTAGACAAAAAAACTATTTGTACATATAATTTAAATGGATCCTAAGACATAAAAAGATCTTTCATAAATGTGTTTTAATCATGACTACATGTAAGTTTTAGCAGAGAATTTATTTTTGAATAACATACATTATAACTTTATATTGAAACATACCTCCCTTGGATAGTACTCCGAAAGAGATAGGAACCATAGGCCGCAATAAACCCAACTTTCCCTCGCAAACTCTGTCCAAGTCTGGATCCATGCCCCAGGCGTGCAGAAGGCTCAAAAGCAGCTGCGCTACTTCCATCGTCGCATTTGGCTCGCTAAACGCACCGTTCCGTTTCAAATTGTTCTTTGCCGCGTCACTGTTATTCCAATTGTCGCCTGCAAAAAGTTGAATAGACATAAGTATTGCAATGATTCTTGAATAATACTCGGCAAAACAGCAAGAACTGCTATGGTATAACGCAACTGGAAAAACAAGACTTTAACAAAAGAATAAATACATAAACATATTGGCAAAATCCATCGAAATAAAATTCCTAAAAGGTATTCACTAGTATCACATACACACACGCGCGTCCTCGCGCGCATAATAATAATAATAGTTAATATATAATCCACAAACGAACACATTATAAACATAATCAGTTACTAAATTAAAGAGAAGCAAGTGGTAATTCTATGAAAACACATATTAAATTTTACTTAAAGGCTTTCACACACAAGCGTGCATATCAATAAAATTAAAGCTATCTTAGTAGTAATGATATCCATCTCCATGTTTGATGACGTCCGACTTGGTGTTTAGAAACCTAATGGAATTGTTAAGAATATAATGTAGACATGGTGAGGATAAAACCATTTAGTGCTCTGAAGAAACTAACTACGATTTCTATCTATTGACACACGAGAATCATAAAGTGTAAGTGGGCACTCTAAAATACAACATGAATTCGTGCGAGACACGCTGTAACCGTGAATTATAAAAATTTGTCATTGTCAAAGATACATTGTCTAACCTTTGCCGTCAAATGTGGACGGCTTGAGGCCGACGCTTTCCGCTTTGGCCTGTAATTTAGTATGCACATTCTCCGCACCCTCCTTCATCTTAGCCAATATACCTACAGAAAGAAATCTATCTTTAGATAGTACGATAATCGAAGAGAAACTGCAAGAAAACGTCTACCACAAATGATTGAACTGAAGAAGTCTATAAAGAAACATTAATGCTACTGCAACCTACTAAAAATAGAAGCAAGAAATCTTTGAGGATTGAATTAAATTATATTTGAATTATATTAAGATTATTCAGAATTTTACAGTTACAAAAATTTGTAAATTAGGGACTTTAAAAGATTCAATGATATGAAAAACAAAAACTTGAAAGATACTATAATAAAAGAATATAAAGGCTGAACTAAAACATGATTATTGAATGGAAAAAGTTGACAGAAAAGAGATAAAACTCGACATGACCCGCGCGAACCTATAAAAACATATTTTGCAAATAAAATATAAAATGCACGTCAAACAATTTCTTTCGATTCGAGCAATTACAAATCAAATCAAACTTTATGACAAAGAAGGACAACAATATCATGTGTTATATGTGTCAATTAACAAGATACGCAAATAAATCATTAATAAAATATTTTCAGAATTCTAAAAAAAAAAAAAGATTATGAGAATATTGATATTTTCTTGTGAAGCTTGTAACAAATATTAATATATAGGGATTTTAGTAATCCAAATAATTTTATACGTAAACGAAATACATGAATAAACAGAATTGCGAAACAAGTAACAATAATAAAACACGATACCGTGACGATCCTTCTCCTTCAATATTCGCTCAACATCACCCGCCTTATCCTTGACGCGACCGAAAAAGTCTACAAAGGGATACATTAATAGAGATAGCTGCAATGCTTATTCTTAAACGGATAGAACTGCGAAAAAACGTGGTTCTTATCTACAATAGTTATATTTTAAAATACAACATTTTATCATAATATAATTTGGAATAACATGAAAAGATCCTTACCAACAATTTTCTTGTGCGCATCGGGACTGGCGGACTGAGTGAGTGCTGCAACTTTCTGATATTCGGCGGCGGAAATAAGTCCTTGCGCCTCTAAGGAACCGGGTGACATAGCACCATACTCGTCGCTAAGTAATTGTACTACAGCGGAAAAGCAAATTAAATTATTATCGTAATTATCGTATCATGTCATAACAAACACAAATTATATAATGCAAAATTACTTTCGTAATTTTTTACGTAATTTTTATACATAAAAATTTAATTTTTTCATAGAAAATATTAAAGTTTTACGAAGATTTCATACCTATCAGCGCTTCTATGTCGAAAAATAGGATATGACTCTCTGGATCCTTCGGGTTACTTCTGAATCCTTGGATCATCAACGGCGAACCTTTGGCTTTTATTTGATTGCCGTGGTCGGGACCATGCCCACCGTGAAGCTGTTGCAATTGATGCAGCCCTCTTTGCGTCGCGTGTCTGATCGCCGACAGGTTCCGATGGCGCAAACCTCTGAGAAGTAAAAATTGGACGGACTGTAACGGAGAACGTTATCCCGGATGATTTACTACGCTGAGGAACACGCAAGATTCTCACCATCCGTGCTGCAAGATTTCATTTACCTAAAGAAATGCACGGCAGGATTAGCAAGTCCTAGCTCACCGCCGGCGGCGGATCCACCGGCTGCTGCTATAGTGTTCTCGTCGCAAGCGTAAAGCACCTCTTCCGCGATAATGCCTAGAAGAAGAAGAAGTAATTCGCTGTTCTCATGAATTCTAAACGCAATTTAAGAAATGTAGTGACATAAGGCAGAGAACATAATAAATATCTCCGAGACTCTGAAAAAGTAAAAATTTAAGGAGTCCTAAGAAATTGAAAGATTAGGAAAATACGAATAATACTCGGGAGACTGAAACAACGTGGAGCAAACAAACCGTGCAGTACGCGATCCAAGTGACCAGTTTCCATTTGCCAGACGTACACGGCACCGTCCGAACATCCGACTATCATGAAATCATCTAGTGGTCTCCATTTGATGGTCACAACTGGGAAAAGGTGTCGCGAGGCAAGCACGACGCATTTTCTCTCCGCTAACGAGAGCAATGTAACACTGTGGTCCGATGCAACACTGCAAACGCACTTCTGTATCCTAGGCTGCAAATACAAATATATTAAATCTTAATCGATTTTTAGCAATATTTTACATGGATTAAGACTCGACTAAAGGGCTTAGAAATTAATCGTCATTCTTATTGTATAAATTCTTATAATGAAAATAGTCATACACTGCAATTATCGGGCGGCACCATCAATTGCGTGATTTCACCGGCATGAACGCAAAACCGATGGATCATTGTGCCGGCGTATAAATCCCAGAGACAGACAGCAAAGTCCACGGAACCGGAAACGAGATGGGTACGATCGTAACGAGGTGCCGCGCCGTGAGGATAAAGCAGACAATTTACTCGTCCTGAGTGGCCCAACAAAACTTGATGCGGTGGCCAATCTGAACGTATGTAAAGAAAAAATAAAAATTTAAATCGTAAAATATTCTGATATTGATTTAAAGTGAGTTATAAAGTATGAAGTTATTACATTTTACATCATCTACTTGTAGTTTTAATTAGTTTTACATCGTGTCGATTTATTGATTTAGTATTTTTACACAAGTATAACTTGGAGAGATGCACATCCATTATCAGTACTTCAAATATACAGATTTTATAGAGAAATAATAAAAATATGATGATACCATCGTATTGCTGATGATTGCCGTGGAGTAGTTGAAGCATTACGGTTTGTGTCGCCGGCACGATGATAATGCTACCATCCTCACGACCGACGACTAGTCGACTCTGTTGCGGCAAATATATGCAAGCGGTGAGCTTAATGCCGTGGCCATCGCCGGTGTCCAACTGATCGAGTATCCCTACAGGAGGCGGCTTCATCGCGTCCCAGGCAGCGGTGAGACTCGTCTTCACGGTCGGCGACAATCCCGGTGGTGACGACCCGTCGTTCTGACAGATCTGAGCGAGCTCCTGCGTCGTCACGTCTGGCACTGTCCAGAGAATAACGACGCCCTCGCTGTCCCCGCGTAACAGATACTTTAGGGTCTTGTTCTGACGCTGTACGGTGACCAGTCGCATAGCCGGCGGACAGGAAAGAGGCTGAAACACGGAAGACGAAAATCCGCGGATGTTGGAAAGCATGTAAACAACATTCGGGAATTAGAGGAAACCGAGAAATAAAGGATCAAAGAATTCAAGGAATTGGAAACTTTAGGAATAAAGTTTCCTTGGACTAGCAATCTTTAGAATCGAAGATTTTTAAGACGAAAGAAGTCTTATGTAGGAATAAAATATTTAGAGTCAAGAATTCGAAGAGTTGAACATAGAACAATTAAAAGACATGTCTGTAATAAGATTATCAAGATAGGAATACTCCTTGTTATCGCTATACAATAGAAAAATATTTCTCACCTTATCTCCAGGTTGCGTTAATGTGCAGTACAGATATGGCTGATCGTACTCCGCACCGGCGGTGTGAAAGTTCTTGTTATCCGCAACGCTACTGCATACCGTGGAAAAAAATTCGTGATTAGTGATTATTTTTATGTAAAATAAAAATTTAAACACACTATTCATGGACATTGTTTTCCGCTGGAGAAAATATCGCAAAATATAACACAGACATGAAAATCTTCGAACATTGAATATGCACATTCAAGAAAACTGTGTCCAAGAATAGGCCAACTATTTTTCCACATTGCATAAGCTTCATATTGCGTCGAATTGCTTCCAGTATGCGTGTTTATTTGCCGACTATGTTTACTAGCAAGCAAACGCTGCGAGTAAACATCTTTTCGAAGCAATAGCATTTTCAGAACATTAGAAACGATACACAAAGGTAGAAAAGTCTGTAGAAGATTTGATGCCAAGACTTAGACAAATTTTATTAATTAAAATTATCCTTATACTAGAAAGAAAGAAAAAATTGCGAATTTTAAAATACGACATATATTTCGTGCCTATTATTTTCGAACTAAAACATAGTACTGATTTTTCTTTTAATATTGAAATATTCTGCCTTTGGAAAGACTTTTTCCAATGGATTACCTTTGTGTCACGTCTGTTACTTTAATAATAATCGCACAGTTAATAATAACAGTGCAAAGCAACTTAAAGCAAACAGAATTTGAGAACATAAGTAATGAAATATGGCAATACGTAATTCTTCCTCGCATTTACCTTCTTTCGCGTATCTTTACATTTTCACCTCGTTCTATTTTATCTGTTTAGACTGCGATTAAGGATTGTCAATGATTATGATGGATTGAATATACGCGATTGAAATACCGCAGTATGTATATGAATGTATACATGCGAGCTCTTGTACGTAAACGCCAATGAAAATTCCTGACGTTAAAAATATGAGAGAAAATGAGGAAAATGAAAGTACCATCGTATGTTTGGATGCTCACTGATAATGCGCGTAATTCGCAATATAATAAAATTTATTAGAATAAAATATGAAATTTGATGCATTCGCATAGTGACATTAATACGAATCCACGCTGCTGAGTTTATCATATCACCTTGTACCAAAGATGAGTAAAAGCGAATTATCGTGTTTACGAACATAAGAGAAAGGTGAAGGAGAATGACAAAACGAATAAACGTAAAGAGACGAAGAGGAAAATAAAGATTAGAAGAGAGAGCAATATGGAGAATATGTACAAGTGATAATGCGGGTTACCTGCTGAGAGCCTTGCCCTTCAGCTTGCTAGAAGAACACCAGATCCCGCGTAGAATGCAGTAGATGTGAATAATATGAAAAAGACATTACCGTAAGATGGATCATTGTGTTAATTGTTAATTCATGTGCATGTACGAAAGTTGTGTTCTGGGACTGTACTACGCTCAGCCGAACGCTGAGCCACTTCCCGAATGCCGCAAAGTTCACCCCAAAAAAAGGAAGTCCCCCCTTCATAATTAGTTTCACATAAAAGAATAAAATATGACATAGACGAATTTTATTTAATTAACCATTTAACTATCGTTCAAGTTTGATCATTGTTCTATTAATAGTTCTATTATACTTTCCTGATGTCAACTGCTGTTAATAATTACATTCGAGGTATTCTTATTCATATATCTCGAATGAAAATCGAATGGAATAACTATGTGTGAAGGCAAAGAATGGGTTACTTCTTAATTCATGAAATCGGGTTGTTATAATGTAGCGTATTTTAATAAACGATAACGTGTGACTCCGGATATGTAGGCGCATGATAAATGGTTACAAACAAGATAAAAAATAAAATATTGAATGTGTGCATTGCCAGCAAGTGCTTCTACAGCATTCTCAGCCCTATAATTGAAAACTTGGAGAACTCATTTCCGAGTTAATGCGCTTGACAATTAAGCTAGAAATTCAAAACAATTTTGGCGTTACTTTTTCAATGTCACATATTATTTACGTATATAATTAAAATATTAAAGATTAAAATATTAAAGATTAAAGAGTAAAATATTAAAGATTAAAACAACAGCTGTGAAACATCCGTGAAATTATTTCCCAAAGATGTGTCACGTAAATTGCGATTAAGTATTTAGCTATTTAAATCGTTATTTCAGCATTTGTTAATCGTTATAAACTGCTTTATAAAGTCAATAAAAAGTGCGCTTTTAGTAACCATGACCATGCTACTAAACTATTAATATAACTTTTTCCTCACACAAAAATATATTGTTAGAGATTATTTGCAAAAGAATTTTAATACTTATATAAACGCGAGAATAAACTACCTGTCAAGTTGTACCAGAATCCTAGAAGCAATAAAGGGATATGTGCTAATCAATAAGATTCAACATTCGAGTATCTCGATCGAATTGTTACGTAATGTCACTCATTCGCAAATATTAAGTTCGGGGCGTAAGAGAGATAATCAGTCGTTCGTTAAGCAACGTTATTACTAGCCAGAGAGGAGAAAATCAAAGTGTTTAAAAAATTTATTTCTAGAATATTTCTAGAATATACTCGACAATCGTGACGTTCACCGAAGAAATGATCGTACGTTGCGTTAAAGGAGTACGTACTTCGCTGGAAGTTTATATAAATATCCGTGACCTTCGTCGCTCCACAGGATGACCCTATCAGCGGACAAGAAATCGCCTGCCATCCAACGCTCGCCACGTGGGGCCGTGATGGAGCAGAGAACCGAGAAATCGCCGGCATCAAATATCTATAAAATTATTTCAATATATATTAATTATGATATGAATATAGCTTTTGACTACAAATGTAATTAATACAAAAAACGCATCTTAATACCAAAATTTTATTCTTAAAAGTATTTCATCTGACATTTCTGCAATAAAAATTCTCCAATCACATATAGCGATAAGAATAACGGTAATTACCTGCCAATACTTGGAGCATACAATCAGCACTGTTCTCTGATTGTAGGGGCAGCAAGTCATCGCGAGCGCGTTCAAGCAGCGGATCTGTTTGCTCTCGTGCTCGTACAGAGGCTCGCTGTTACGATTCTCGTGTCCCAAAAGCGTCCACACCTTCACCGTGCCCGTCGTCGTCAGAGCCAGCACGACGTCGTCTTTAAACGAATGGAAGCGCCTGTTGCGCGTTAAGTAAATCTAAGAGAGCGTTTTAGCATTTTTAAGCGATAGAATTTCGTTAGGATCAGTAGAACAGTTCGCTGTTTGCTATAAAAAAACTTGCCAGCTTCAACGAATCGATATAATTAATTTACAAATATAAATATTTATGTCAGATATCGAATAAAGCGGCTAAAGGTAGTGTTACAAGTGATTAAAGGTAGCGTTGTTATTCTAATAGGTACAATATGATCCTCGTGAAACGGTAATATAATTCTGTATGCGTATAGTATTACGTGCATGCCAGATGTTTCCGTGGAGTAGAAAGCAATAACGTATTAAATTACAGCGAAATCATGCTTAATTTCAGTTATGCAGAAACTATGTGTGTACTTAATTTATTTGACTAAGCAGAATCCAAGGATTATTTTAATTAAAAAATAATTAATGTGTATAGTTGCGTCCAACAGGTACTGATAATATATTTGCGTTTTCCGCAATAGTGTAACAAATTTGTCTGTCCTGTTTTCAATATTACTTTAAGACCTTCGTTTGCAATTAGTCTGGTTTTACAAATATAAGTTTTATACTAGTTTTCCTGACATATACAATGTGTATACAATCTCCACGTATACAATGTGTAAAAAAAAATACAAGCAATAAATTAGCACTCTGGCGTAACTGCCATAAATAGCGACAAAAATTAGAAATTAATTTTAACAAAAATCGGTAAACATTTAAAGCTGTAAACACTGGCGTTTCCTCCAAAACTTTGCAACTTGCAAATTAAAATTATAAATTACAAAATAGAAAAAAGAATTTAAAAAAAGACATTCTCTAATTTTATTAGATCACATTTTTTAGTCAATGTCATATTTTGGAGAAGTAATCAATATAGTTTAAACATTAACATACTTTTAATTACAACAATGATACGAGATTAAATTTAGCAGTAACAGAGCGTGCAATTGTTGCCGCGTGTAAATATGTACATTATAATATATATATTATATATATTTATATATACTTACGAATAGAGATAGAAACATAGTTACCAGGTGAAAGTGTTATGAAAGTGTAATGAAATGCGATGTGTATATAGATATAAATGACATGTCATTCATATATGTGAGTAACAGGATAGATATATGGATATTGTTACCTTAATATAAAAAGAAAGAGAAGTAAGACGAATTGTTAGTAATGATTAGATTGTTCAAGTGACGATGTGCGGAGAAGAGATGTGTGAACCACAATTAGATAAAAGAAAAAAAAATAAACGAGAAAAGTGATACAGCCTCGACTGCCAGCGCACTAGCGCTGACTTGTCTCCAGTTTCATTAACATGCTGCAACAATGTAACTGTTATTATAAGGTGTCAGTCTAAAAATATTAGATATATAAAACTGCTACTATCAAACTAGATACAATATAAATGACTTTACTCGCGAAACCGAGTAATAGGTCATCGAAAAATAATAGCTCGAAATATTCATCGACAATCCCTGTATCCAAAGCATAAAGCTTCTTCAGGTTAATTACCTAAAAAAAAAGGTAAAGTAGCAGAGTATAAAATTTAAGATACAAAAGAAACGTCTGTACAAGTGCCTCAGATACCGTTAGTTACTTTTAAGTAATTATACTAGGTACGATCATTAATTATTGTAAATAATCATTATTATTATCATCCAACTTAACTTCACCCGAATGAGACACAAAAATAACCGAAAAGAAGAAACTTTACCGCTAATACCCTCAAGTTCTTTATTTAAAAAGAAACAAATATAAAAGATAATGAAACACCAAAAGATACTGTTTCGCGCATTGCTAAATTTTTATTTATGCAAAAGGATATCGAGCGCCGTCTGTTATATAAGAATCATTGAGGAATAGAGAAGAAACAGTTTTAGACAGCAATAGATGCGAGATTCAAACCGAATTATTGCGTTAAACTTTCGATAATAAATCACGAAAAGCCATATTGCGATTCACCTTTTGTACAGTATCTGTTGGCAGTGAAACTGAATAGAAGGTAGTTGTTCATGGTATAAAGCGTAGGTGTGATGGAGTGTAACTAACTTGTATGCACGTAGAACCGACCTTTCCGTTTGGCCGGCCGCAAAACGTGCAAGGCGCTAATCCAGTCTGGATTGACGCGGGAGCTTAGGGTGAACAGCACTTCCAAGCTGAACGGGTCCATCACCAAAACCTCGGGATAGTATCTGAAATACACAAAAAAAAAAGACTTGCATTCATATATATCCTTGATGAAATTCGATACTACCGTGTGACGTATATGGATAATGCTATTTCTACCCAGAGCAAAACAGTCTGACGTCCTCTCCACCCGCAGAAACGTAGGGCAACATTTGCGTGTGGACGCTGTTAAGCTTCACCGTTTCGCGACACTTTCCATCGACTAGATCCCAGGTGCACATCTCCCCGCTCTCGCTGCTGCTGACGATGAAATTCTGCTCCATCACGACGCTGGCTCGGCTGAGACACATTATCGGGGCGGTATGTCCAACCAGCAAGCATCTCGGAGTCATCTACATTGGAAACCACGGCTGTAGCGTGAATCGATAATGAATAAAGGATCCGCAAGCGTTCTGTATATACCTTTAAGGTCTCCGGATCCACCTGCCACAGACATATCTGCCCGTCGTAACATCCTGTCACCAGTGTCTTTTGATCCCGAGACAAGTAGACGCAGGAAATACAATGGGTTGGCGCTATGCGTCCCCACAGCACTATGGGCACCACTAAGCTGGTGCCTGCCGTCATCTTGGCAGACAATCTGAAAACAATTATCATAATGCAACAAACAAAATCTCGATAAACTTTTCTAACTGTTGTTCAGCGCTCACGTTTCTTTTATTGATCAAAGTATACTTTGAAACGACCTAGATCTAGAAAAGTAAAATGCGTAGTTGCAAAGGAAAGAAATAAATATCGGAGCAATTGTTTCGAAGCAAACACTGTCAATCACATATCTCTGCACTGCCAATCAGAAAAATGTCCAAAGCACAAGAGATAATTGCCAGCAATTGAATTACATTCCGGGAAACTGAAATATACAATATCGCTTGATGTGTTATCATTGGTATCGAGCGGGAGATAACCGCGCAGTAAAATAACAAACTAAATAATCACAACTCGCTGACGTCAAACGCACACGAAACCGGCGAGGTGGATCTACGGGGAGGCGTGTCGAGCCCGACGAGCACGTCAGGTCCGCGAAATTCATTAGGCACTCGCGAGGGGGGCAATGATTGAGAGCAATTAGAGGCGTCTGCTACATCACGTTGGCAAAATGTCACAGACGATCAAGGCTACGAGGCGCCGCTCGCGCTGCTCCCGCGTACGTCCACCTTCCGGGCGCGCTGACAAGGGTCGCGCGGGCACGTAACCCGCCGAAAATAATTACCGCGATTCGACGAAGCACCGCTGACAATTGGCCGGGACGTCGCAGTTGGCGATACCTGCCGAAAATCGCCCGGATCCGCAATTCTCACAACACTTCCGCGACCATCGCTGTCTCGCCTGCCGTCGCCGTGAACGGTATTGGACAGTGCGGTCAAGACAGCGATCAGCTGTTCCGCCGCAAAAGTCCCTAAAAATTGGCGCGCGCACAGAGCCCGGGGGCCGGACGAGTTTCCAACTTGCCGGATATATCTATAAAAAAGAAGAAAGAGGATGTGACGTCGTCGTTCCGCCACGGAGAGGCCTTCGAGGATTTGATTTCGAGCACCAATCAAAAGCTTCTTCGCTCCACTTCGCTCACAACACTCTCGTGAGCATCATTCGTCCTTGTTTAACATTTGACAAACAGCAAGAAAGATGAAATAAAGCGTTGCGATCGTTAAGTGGAATCGTTCATCAGTGTGACGCTAAAATGAATAAAAGAGGTTATAAGATTTGCAGCGTTCAAAACTGCCAAAATAAAAGCATAAATGCAAATTATCGTTTCTTTCGTTTCCCTAAGGATGGCGAAAGGTTTGTACATACATGTTACAGGACAATTTCTTCCGTTTAATTTCCTTTAAATCATAATACAAAAGTTTAATGATTTTAGGTCAAGACAGTGGGCAATTGCGTGTCATCGCGAGGATCTCTTGAAAAAAACACCGGAACATGTATATTCCACCTATAGAGTTTGCAGCGACCACTTCGAGAACCGAATGTATTCAAATGATTTGAAAAACCGTTTACTTCCTTCGGCTAAACCAACTCTCAATTTGGGTGAAAACTTAGAAAATGATCGGAATAATGTGGTAAGTAAAGAAATGGTCAATTAAAGAATAAGTAAAAAAATCGAATATATGCTGCAGCTTATGAAGTTAATTCATTTTTCTTCCGCTCTGGAATTGTATAATCTCTACAAGAGATACAATACACAATGCTAGATTGAGACTGAAATGTGAAATACGATTAAGTTCAAATTGATCGTGAGTGGTGTTTGTCAGACACTAATTGGAAGAAAACTGAATTGAATTTATTTATTTATAGTTTTAAGGCTGTTGCAGCCATTGTCTTTGTAACAATTCTGCATGTAAATAGCTGTTTGATCCTGATAGACGTGATCTTTATGAAATCTGATTTCAGAATTGTGCAAATGTAAAAACTAACGCTTCATCTGGTATTCGACAAACCACTCATTTGTTGGAAGAAGGAGAAAGGTCGCAACTTTCTGCAGAGCCTGATGTACGAGCGGAACACAATGTCAGCTTGGAACCAATTAACATCACCGCCAAATCTCTTCAGCCTTCAATCATCATTCTTTCAGCAAATAACAGCAGTAAGGCAGATCCTAAAATTGCAGTCACTGCAGAGACCAGTGATGTTGGGGACCACAGAGGAGTCCAGCTGCTACTGAAGCCTAGTATTCATAAAATTATTCAAACCTCGAATGATTTGTCTACTCATGCTCCGAAAAAATTAAAAAAACAAGCAGAAAATAAAATACTAAAAAAAGAATTAAAAAAACAAGCAGAAAATAGAATACTAAGAAAAGAAAATAGAATATTGAAAAAAAAGAATGCTGCTTTGCATGAAATAATAAAAAAAATAACAGATGTAACCGAAGAACAATTTTTAACGGCCTGTGAAAAATTTCTATCACCGCAAGTAGCAATGTTAGTAAGAGAACAAGTATTATCTGGCAAGAAACAAGTCCGCGGTCGGAGGTATTCCCTAGAATTTAAACGATTGTGCTTGAATTGGTATTTTAAAGGGCCAAGAGCGTACAGAACTTTGGCATCGATATTTTATTTGCCAGGTAGAGTAACTCTCAATAGAATTACAACTAATATTTCTATTACGAGCGGCATAAATAAAAACGTGTTCAATTTACTGGCCGTTAAATTTGCAACTACGCAAGAGTCTGGAAAAATTTGCGTGGTACACTTTGATGAAATGTCATTAAAATGCCATTTGTATTATAATACAAAGACTGACGAAGTTATCGGTTTTCATGATAGTGGCAATGAAAAGCAATTCCATCCAGCAAAATTTGCATACGTCTTTACTGTAAGAGGTATTTTTGATGATTGGAAACAGCCTCTTGCGTACGAACTTTCGAATGCAGCTTGTTCAACTGAAGTTCTCAAACAATTACTCGCTCAATGTATTTTTCAATTGCAAAATATTGGTTTAATAGTTGCTGCCGTAGTGTGTGATATGAATCCTAAGAATAAGCAGCTCGCAAAAGAATTAAGAATCACGCCAACTATCCCATATTTTACGGTGAATGACCGCCAAATTTTTTTTCTATTTGATGTGCCGCATTTGATGAAGGGAATGCAAAATATGTTTTTAAAATATACTTTCATGTTTGACCAACTTTTTGTTAAGATGGAGCACGTAAGACAATTTTATGAGTTCGATAAAATAATGAAGTTCAGGTTGGCGCCGAAATTAACTGACTCTCATGTAAATCCAAGTCTGCTCCAAAAAACGGAAACTCGATTAGCTACTCAACTTTTTAGTCGATCTGTGGCGGCAGGTATATATACATATATGCATTTTGGAAAAATATCACCCGAGGCAATTGGAACGGTAACTTTCATAGACAAAATGGATAAACTTTTTGACATGTTAAATTCTACCGCGAAATACACGGAAGAAAAACCGCACGCTCACGTTTTCGAAGGGAATGAATTCCAGACTGCCTTTTTAAAGGACTGTTTAGAGTTTTTCGATTCATTAATAATTATTAATCACGATGGTCAGGATATGACAAACAAAATTAAATTCATCTATGGCTGGAAAGTTACTATTTCAGGCGTGCTGCAACTGTGGGAATGCCTCAAAGAAGAAGGACTTAATTCTGTGCAAACGAGGAGATTAAATCGAGAGCCTATAGAGAACTTTTTTGAAAAAATTTGTTTAGAAAAAGGAAACTGTTTGAACCCTCCTGCCGTGGCGTTCATTCGAGCATTCAAAAAATTGCTGTTTCACAATTTCTTTAATACGGGGAACAAAAACTGCGAGGATGATTTTGACAATATCTTGTTGGACTTAAACGGACGGAATCAAGATGAAAACAAAGAAATTGAAGAAGAAAGTGAAAGCGGACTTTTTGAGGAATTTATGCCGGATGACGTTGATTATCAAAAGCTCGATTTAGTTGAAAAAAATTCAATTCGTTATATATGTGATTTTTTTATTCGTAAATGTTTAAAGAAACATTCATGCACAATTTGCGAAGGATATAGTATCGATCACGTAGAATTTGAAGATTCGACAATTTTTTGTTTTTTTAAGGCGTACCAAAACAAAAATTCAATTCTTGGAAATTCAGAATCGTCATCACATAATAATTTTATTTTTTACGTGTGCTCATTGGAAGCGATTTTCAATGAGCACTTTCAAAATATTGTTTTTGAGAAAAATGTTATACAAAAATTGTTAGCAGAGGCTGAACTAACAACATTTGAGCATCCATGCAGCAATTTCCCACATTTATATTTAAAAAAATTATTTTTTAGAATGCGGTTATATTACACGTTAAAATTTATAAATCATAACTTTCGATCATCCAATAACCCAAATAAAATGATCATTTGGAGACACTAATGAATACCAGCGTATACGTATGCATGTATGTATGTTGTTTATTTTTTAGGGTACCTAACCAGGATATACAATTTTTTTAGTAATATTCAGTACAAAATAAAAAAACACCCCAACATAATTTCTTTTCCGCCGTACCTATATATGTAAATACATGTATATATGTAAATATATGTATGTAACAAACATATGCCGCCATATATGCAATAAATGTAAGTTTACAAAAATTATGTAGTTTTTGCATTATTAATTTTAATTATACTTTACCACGAATAATAAAATCTTTAACGACAAATAATAATCATTCGTATGTATACTTGGTCGGAAATACACGGTTTTTTAAAGAATCTATATGAAATCGTTTGTATTTCGTATAAAGACTTTTAAAGTGCAATTGAAAAGGTTTGTGAGTCATTCGTATAATTGTAATTAATTATTTATTTTTACACCATGCATTTAGCCGAAATATAGATAAATTAATAAAAGTTTTTATATGGAATCGTTTGTATTTTGTATGAAGTTATGAAGTGTGATTAAAAAGATTTGGAGTCACCCAGATAATTTTAATTAAATATTTATAAACTCGGTAATTAGCCGAAATACAGATTTTTAGTTATTCATGTTGAGAGCAATCACATGTCGGGGCGCCATAGAATGGGTGCGTTTAGCCGATACTCCGCTAGCCTAGCAATCGTGAGCAGTCGCTCGTTTTCGCTCGTTTCCTCTCCTTTTAATCCATTGGGTCAAAAGAGAGGAAA